TTGTTCTTCTTGTTATGTGTCATTGAGTCACTTGTGACTCATAGAGACCTTATGCACAATAGCCCTCAAGCTCTATCTTGAGCCAATTTCATTATCTCAGATACACCTACCTGAATGTCCATCTGTGTTTTATTGACTGTGAAAAGGTGACTGACTGTGTGGGCCACAACAAATTGTGGCTAACTCTGAGAAGAACTGGAATCCCAGAACACTTGATTGTGCTTATGTGAAACCTATACTTGGACCAGGAACAGAGGAAGGAGACACTGCATGGTTCAAAATCAGGGAGTGTGTATGCCAGGGATGTGTCCTATCTCCATACTTTTTCAATCTATATGCAGAACAGACTATCTGGAGGCTGGGTTCTATGAAGAGAAATGTGGCATCAGGATTGGAGGAAGAACCATCAACAATCTACGTTATTCAGATGACACAACCCTGTTTGCTGAAACTGAGGAAGAACTGAGGGGCTTGCTACACAAGGTCAAGGACTGCAGCCTTCCATATAGACTGAAGCTCAATATCAAGAAAACAAAGATTTTCACCACTGGTCCAATTGGCAGCATCATGATAGATGGTGAAGAGATTGAGATTGTTAACATCTTTAGTTTGCTTGGCTCTACAATTAACACTCTTGGCACCAGCAGCCAGGAAATGAAAAGACGTAATGCATTGGGAAAGTCAGCTGTCAAACACCTCTCCAATTTATTAAAGAGCAACAATGTCAGTCTGGAGGCTAAGGTGCCCCTGATACAGTCCATGGTCTTTGCAATCACTTGCTATGCATCAGAAGGCTGAACAATGATTAGGGAGGATAGAAGGGGAATTTATGCCTTTTAGCTGTGGTGTTGGAGAAGAATATTTAATATATGGACTGATAAGAGAACAAACAGGTTCATCCAGGAGAGCGTGAAACAAGGCTGCTCCTTGGAGGCAAGGATTCTGAAGTTTTGACTGACATACTTTGGACATGTTGCAAAGGAGGGAGCAGTCCTTGGAGAGGGATGTCATGCTTGGAAGGGTGGAGGGACAGCGCAGGAGAGGAAGACCCTCAATGAGAAGGATTGATTCAGTGACCGGAGCAATGAGGGTAGGTGTGTCAGAGATGGTGAGATTGGCATGGGATAGAGCAGCGTTTAGGGCTGTTGTACATAGGGTTGCTATGAGTCACAGGTGACTTGATGGCATAAAACAACAATAACAATATTAATATAATGTCACACATCAACTTACAAAAATAGTTATTTGCTGATCTGAAAACACAGCTTTGAGCAAGAGACAAAAAGATTAAGAACACATTCAGATTTTCTTCATTTTTATGGATTTCTACACTGTAAGGTCGCAGAAGAAGGATAGAACCAAGTTCAGGCCAAGAGACTTTATTGAAGAGAAACTGCCAGGCTGTCTCTAAAGCAGAAATCAGCAGCCACTTAAAGTAACAGTGGAGTTTTATATTGTCTTAACATGGAAATTGGGAGTTAGTAGGTTTGCAACTGCTTGGAACAGATAAGGGAGCAAGTTGGGGGTGGTGGATAGTTATTCCTGGGAGAGAGAGGTGCAGTTTCTGCAGCTCTAACAGAGAGAAACAGAGTTGCTGTTGATGCTTTGAGTATTACTGTTGCTGTCTTTGAGAAAGGGAATGTACTGGGGAAATAAGGAGAGGGGAAGAAAGGGGGGGTACAGCTCTGCTGCCCTGACATATCAGCCTTTTACTATAGTGAATGGGGGGGCGTTGAGGTTCTCTTCTGTATGTACTTCCTGCTGAACTGGGCGGAAGGCCTAGGAGAAGGAAAAGGCTGTTGGAGTTTGTGTTTTGTTGGTTTTTGTTTATTTTTTCAGGCAGCGGAGTTGGTGGGTGTGACAATGGGGGTAATGGTTGGCACTCAGTTGATAATATGAAGAGTTCACAGACTGTGCGGTTGGCAAAAGCTCTCATCCACTCCTGTAGAAAACTAGAAAGAAATCACATGAGACAAGGACCAAACATTAAGATTAAGAAAATTACTGTAAGAGGGTTGAGAAAGAGGAGAAGTTAGAGTAACTAAGTTTCAAGAGAGGAGAAAAATTTCTGTTGGCTTTCGCTTTCTATGGCTGCTACAGGACTTGGTTTTAGGAGCATTGGGTAATGATGGCCCACTGCTTTTATAGAAGGGATACAGGGCATTTTGAACTTGGTCTTCTGTGAGTATAGAGATTTGGGGGGTTAAAAAGGCACTTACACAAACTCTAGTCTAGTTGTTTTGCAAGCAGTGGTAAGTTGAGTTGCTACAGATGAAGAATATTCTTAAGGTAGAGCACTGTGTGGCATTATTAAACAAAAAAGCGTGTGATTTAAAATAAAAAGAAGAAACATTGCCTACTGCTTTTGTGTTGTTAATTGAAAGTAGTCAGGTAACATTTGAGGTAGGGAGCTGATCTATGAGAATTTTCTGTTAGGGTTCGAGATGTTATCTTCTGAAGTCCAATTATGTGGAACAGAGGTGGCTACATATGCCTCTTATTATAAAGGGAGACAAAGTCAACAGTCTTTAACAAGGATTAGGCTGGTTTGACTTATAATTTGAAAACTGATATTTTAAAAATGTCTTATAGGAGTTTCTGAGTCAACTATCTGGTGAGTTTCTTTAGTTCTGAGAGATTAATAACTTAGGGAAGGTATTTAGATTTGGGTATCAGAGTAAAGGTCAGGTTTTTGAGTGTGAGAGCTAGAAAGAATGGATTCTAACAATATGGCAAATAGCCACTTTTGCTTAGGAGAAGGAGGCAAGTAAGCACTGTATCATCAAGCCGAATGCCAATATGAAACCAGGCACCTACTTCTTATGAAAAGATCTTGGACCTAGGAAAAAAGTGAGGAAAAGAGATTGGAAAAAGGAAAAGTTCTTATAAGAGTGTTTCAAGAAAGAAATTACATCAGCTGGTGAGGCAAACGCAATGGAGAGGGCTCATGGAAATTTACTTAGAGTTTGCCTCTGTTTCTTCCATGATTTTTGTTAATCTGACTTTGGTGGGCTCCAAAGGGGAGCAAGGCCTATTTGGGTGATGACTTATCTTGGTTGAAGAGAGGAGTCAAGGCTGCTGGGAAGAAGGAATCTTGGGTCTTCTTAATCCTGGAGAGATGGAACAATGAAGCTTTGCCAAATAGTTTCACAGCTATGGGAGAGGTTAAGAGTACCTGAAAAAGACCTGGGACAAGTTTTGACTAATGAGTGGGTAAAGAAGGATTGTGAAGTCTTTCTTGTGGAGAGGTCACAGAATAGACAGGTAGGACAGGATTTAGTGATAGATTGTAGAAGGGTGGGTACAAGGAGGCAGAACACTCAAGGCTTTATGAGATGGAGTAAGGGTTTATACTCAATATGTAGGGCTTGATATATTGTAAGAATTTCTGGAGCTTGTTCCTGGGGG